CTGAGATGGCTGATGTGCATCACTGTGGCTTTGAACTTGGTGCTCACCTTCCCTATTTCTCCACATCCCAAAGAAAAACACGTGACTGCGAATCTGTATCGCAGTGATGATGAGGTCATATATGCTGTTGTTGATGACTTTTTTGATCAACAGGATGTTCACCAATGGAATCCAAACACTGCTGCACCGATGGAAGAAGTGAGTAGACCGCAGTCAATGTCGAAAAATAAATTACATTTGGCCACATTCCATGAGAATATCTTGGACAGCCTATAAACTTTTCAAGCAACCCTTGCAGATATTAAATAAAAAATAACTGATTAATTTAAAGAAGGTCAATTTTAGCAATCTTCAAAATAACAAAACTCATCATCTATTTATTTAATTTACAAAATATAAGATCGAAAATAGTTCATCCTGTTAATCCTCCTTTCCAAAATAATAATACCAATAAAATGAGGACAGTAGAATAATCGTAATGATAATGTGGCACGGTGGAGTAACGGATAGCGGCTCGGATTGGGGAGCCGAGTTCGAATTCTAGTCGAATACATTGCATACATTTGCATGTTAATAATCTTGGGAAAGCTATGAATCCTCTTCTTCTCCACCCAGCTATGGGTAAATAGCGGGACAGAACGGGTTCTATAGCATTGGATAGCAACTGATCTACCGCAGAAAGAAATGGCAACCTACTTGCCTGTGAGTAAAGCCTGTGTGTTTTGGTAACCTTCGCCAAGATACACAAGCCTCACTCGCTAAAAGATATTTTTCACCATTGATCTTAGAAAGCGGTTGTATACAGCTGACAGTTTAGATATTTCTGAATAATTTTGGCGCCAAGAATGTCATCCAGATGAAAGACACTATCTGACGAGGCTACTCAAGAACATGACTCGCGTTTTCAGGTTAATTGTAGGTTGGGCGAAATTGCTTCTTCCGCAACCTATTTTGTATTCAGTTTCCTTTTCGCCTATACTAAGTTCGTTGCAACTGATCCATACACCGAGGCATTTATAGTGTTTAGTATTTAATAATACCACATCCTAAATTTTTATAATGGATTCAGGGTAGGTGTCATTTCATTCCAAGTCTAGATCATAATTTCTGTTTTGGAAAGATTTATCTTTAGTCCTATTTCTTTGAATACTTGGTAGATGATTATGTTTTGCCACCCTCGTTATCAGTACACTGACTTCCGGAGGCAAAGCAGGTTCGCTGTCTTGTATTTGTAGATTCGTTTGGGATGTGGTATGGAATGCCTAAAAGATCAGTGCCTATCACTTCTTATACGCTCTTGCAAATGCGTAGAGCATAGTCTTGGAAAAGATTAATGAGTGAAGGTGGCGCTCACTTGATCCTTTCTGGAGTCCTGTTGAAGTGTGAATTGTTTCTCTATTAGCTAGTGTAGATTTCTCTATAAGGGTCTTAACCAGTGTAAATTTCTCTGTTAGGGTCCTAGGCAGTGTAAATATTTCTATTAGGGACCTAGCCAGTGTAAGTTTCTCTATTGTGTTTATATCAAATGCAAATTTCTCTATTAGGGTCATAGTTAGTCTAAGTTCCTCTATTAGGGTTCTAGACAATGTAAATATCTCTATTAGGGTCCTATCCAGTGTGAATTTCCCGTTAGAATCATAGCTAGTGTAAATTCCTCTATTAGTGTCCTAACCAGTGTAAATCTCTCTATTAGGGTCATAGCTAGAGTAAATTTCTCTATTATGGTCCTAGGCAGTGTAGATTTCTCTATTAGGTTCATATCAAATGTAGATTTCTCTATTAGGGTCATAGTTAGTCTAAGTTCCTCTATTAGAATTCTAGACAGGTAAATATCACTATTAGGGTCCTAGCTAGTGTAAATATCCCTATTAGGGCTCTAGCCAGTATAAATTTCTCTGTTAGGGTCCCAGCCAGTGTAAGTTTATCTACTAGGTTCATATCAAATGTAAATTTCTTTATTAGGGTCATAATTAGTCTAAGTTACTCTATTAGGTTTCTAGACAGTGTAAATATCGCTGTTAGGGTCATAGCCAGCGTAAAATTTAGCTGTTCGTTTACAAATTTCAAGTTTGAAACTGTACGTTGTTGGCATCTGTTTCTTGCGTAGCTGGCAATGCCGTAAGCACATATTCATAGCATAAATTTGTAAATGAAGAGCTAAGATCCGATAACTGTAAAAAACAGGGAGCGAATTTACGCTGTATTGATATTATGAATAGAACCCTTTCTAAAAGGATTTAAAAATAAATATCTTTCGATTCTGACAAGTTTCGATGTATGAGGAATGTCTTCTTTATGTGCCGTGCTTCTTCAAGATGTAGGCGATCATGGCTTTCCACAATTTCATAAACTTTGTAGCTCTGAATAAATTTTGCCTTTTTATTATTTCTCCTAAACCCTGTTCCACCATCCATTTACTCAAGCTCATTCTTTTTCTTCTATGTGTTGTGTCCCTTTAGGACAAAGGCGATCATGGCTCTCCACAATTTCCTAACCTTTGTAGCTCTGAATAAATGTTGTCTTTTTGTTATTTCTCCTAAACCCTGTTCTGCCATCCATTTACTTATGCTCATCAAGTATTTTATGCGCTGTTTTCCTCTGTCCTTTAATCTGTCCTGTGAGTATCAGATTTTCCAAGCCCTCCATCCTCATTACGTGCCTCAGAAATGGCAATTGTCTCTTCCTGATGTTAAGTATAAGTTTACTTTTAGCTTCCATTTTTATCTAAAACCTCGTTGTTGCTCACATGATCGGTCGATGATATCCTCAGCATCCTCCTGTAGAACCACATCCCTTTTGCTTCAAGTCAGTTCTTCATCTTCGAGGAGATTATCCGGCATTCACTTCCATATAGGAGGACAGATATAACATAACAGTTTAGTACTATTTATAATTAACTTTTTCTATATCATAGTACTCTGCTTAGCTTTTGAAATGCATCTTTAGCTATTCCAACACGCCTTCAAATTTCAGTGTCACACTTTTCGTCCACTGTTAAAACTTTTCTCCTATATTTTAATTGTTTGTACTTGATTGATTTTGGTATCTCTGTAATACTAGTTGTCGCGGTAAAACGGAAGAAAGTTTTGTTAAAACATAAGAAAGTGTTATATACTGAGAGATATTGAAACAAGAAAAACCCGTGGGAAGAATTGGAGATTTAGTTCACACATAAAGGACTTGAATTGTATGTCGATCAGTTTGAACAAATGGAAAAGTGGCTCAGACTTAGGGGGCAATGATGATTGACAATGTGTTCTACGCAGCTGAAAATTCAAGCTGTAAAGCGAAAATTTCATTTTTCGTAAACAACGAATTTGGAGCTGGTTCCCCTGGTTGAAAATTGAGATGGAATAATCCACCCACGCTCACTGAGGAGATATCGAATTGAAGTGGAGTACGTAGCTTTGAATTCAGCTAGGAGAAAATTTATGATGCTGACAGCAGAAGGGAGAAGAAAGAAAGAAGAGACGAGACCAGAGACAGGAGAGAGGCCCACGTGATTATATGCCGACGAAAGCCGCCGACTTCGGCCTTGTGCCGAACTTTACCAAAACAGCAAACCAAAATTTACCAAGTCAACAATAATAAAACTTCCGATTTAGACGCGGGTCCGGCTGATAATGAATTGCATGCGAACTCTGATGTAACCAATTATTGTACGAAGAACTGATATAAAAACAATATTTACTTTTTGTTCAATTTATTCGAGTGTTATTTTCTACCTGTACGTCTTCGCCCTTCTTGGACCAGCCTGAAACGAAGATACCTGCGACGATTCGATATTGGCTGCCTTATGATCAACCTTAAATTACAGCGTGTGGATAAGGCTGGTCTGAGATCGAAATGATCTTCATCGATCAGCTGCGGTGTTGGAAGTCTTGGATGACCGGGGAGGGTGCTATAAGATTTGTAATTTGCATTTTGGGATTATCCTTTTGCTAACAACTATGCATTCTGTCTGCTTGTAGTTTATGTTTAATCCTTTCTTCTCGCTTTACTTCACTAACTTCTGTAGGAGTTTTTCTAGTCCTTTTTCCGCGTCTGCTATCAACACTGTGCCATCTGCGTACCTTATCTTGTTAAGATTGTGGCCGCCGATAATGAATCCTGGTAGGACATTTAATTATCTCAGACTTTCCTGGCTGTATATCTAACGAATGCTAATCTACAAAAATGATTTCCAAAAAAGTTTTTCCTTTTTTTAAAGAGTGGACCAGTTTATTTAAGAAATCTCATAAAATTTAATCATGGAAATCTTAAGACTCGAGCTGTAAAAATCTTAGAGGAGTTTTTTTTAAAAAAATTCTATGTTAAGATTAGACACATTCCAGATAATGATTATTTTGGATTAAGCATTTATAAATCACATATAGACAAGCCAACGGAAATAATATGATATTTTTTAAACATATTCTTAAAAATATATATAAATTTATATTATTTTTTTTTTGAATTGCGATGATGTCTTAGATTCTTTGCGCGATTCCAAACCGTATATTTTTTAAGCTTATCAAAAAGAAAATAATTTAATAGTAATTTATCAAGGATATATTCGAATTTAGAAAATGCATTGAAAATAGATAACAGATAAAAACGCAGAATATTTTTGAATAAGAAAACCAGAACAGGAAAGAAATTTAAAGATGGCCGACAAGCCTCCACAAAATAATCTTCGTCGTGAAGAATGGCAAAGGAAGATAAACAATAGAAACCGTTATACAGTGCATATGTTCTTTGGAAAGGGGCCTCAACACACAGGATTTAGATACAGCATCATCCCCTCGACACACAGACACAAGGAAGTGTGTATCCCATTTTTTTCATACGTAAGAGAGATTATCTATAAGTGGGATATTTAATACAAGTATTGTTAAATCCCCTTTGAGAAGAGCGGAAAAACGAAGTGAGATTAAACTAAATTTAAAACCAGGATCGTACTAAAAATTGATAAATTTGTGTGACTGTTTTTTTTTTTTTTTTTTTTTTTGAAAAGTCACCCGCGAATCTCAGTGGACGGATGAGGAGGGAAAATAGACGAATAATAAACAGAGTAACAGAGGAGGAGAAGTGATAAGAAGAGGAAGAGTAGGAGGGGGAGGAGGAGACGTAGCAAAATAATTGGAGGGTAAATGTAAAGAAGAACAAGACTATCAATGAAGAACAAAGTGTGAGCGGGAGTGGGAGGAGGAGTGGTGAAAAGAGGGAAAATGACAGTGGGGAGTAGTGAGAAGGAAAGTTGGATGAGGAGTGGTAAGAAAATGGAAAGTGGAAGGGGTAGTCGAAGAAGCGGGGAAAATGGGAGGGTGAGTGGTGAGAAGAGGGAACATAAGACGAGGAGTGGTAAGTAGAGGAAAGTTGGATGAGGAGTGATAAGAAGAGGGAAGTGAGATGAGGAGTGGCGAGAAAAGGGAAATTGTGAGGGGGAGTAGTGAGAAGAAGGAAAGTGGGAAGAGGAGTGATGATAAGCGGGAAAATGGGAGGAGAAGCAGGAGGAGGAGGAATGGGAGGGGGTATTCTAGTTATAGTTACAAAAGAATAGGAAGATAATTGTAAAAATAAACAATAAAAGATGAACATTACTTTAAATTGCCAGAATATTAATAATAATGATGATGGTGAAGGGAAAAGAAGTAGATTAAGTTAATACAAAAGAAAAAATGAGAAACTGTGATTAATAATAACAATACTACTACTACTACTCATAATAATAACAAGAAGAAGAAGAAGAAGAAGGAAAAAAGAAGGAAAGACAGAAAGAAGGGAAAGAAGAAAAGAGAAAGAACATAAAATAAGGAAAGGCGAAAAAGAAGAGAAAGAAGAAAATGTAAAGAGAAAAGCGAGAAAAAGATTTACAAGAAAAAAGCACAAGAAAAAGAAGGATAAAAAGAAAAGCAAAAAGAAGAAAGGCAAAAGAAGGAAAAGGAAAAGAAGCATCAAAAGATGAAAAAAAACAAGAAAAAAGCAACGAAAAGAATCACAAGAAGAAAGACAGAAGAAAAGAAGCAAAAGAAATACTATAAAGAGAAAGAAAGAAAAAAGAAATAGAAGCAAAAGAAATTGAAAGAAAGAAAAAGGAAGAAAACGAAAAGAAAGAAAAATGATAAAAAAAAGAAAAGAAAAAAAGAATGGGAAAAGGAGGAAAAGAAAACGAAGAAACAAGAGAAGAAAAGATAAAATTGTTTTGGTTTGTTTAAAGGCATATCAACTCCTTATGGGTCATTTAATGACGAAGTTTTATTTTCTTGTGAAATTTGGTAATCTTTTCTTCCACTAATGTATTGCTGGAATTTTAAAATATTTTTTTACTTTACATTTTAGTTTTGACCCCAGTTTAAAGGTTCACTATTTACTCATACTTGTGGCCCTAACAGGTGCTACCACGCTGGGTCAGGGTGAACAATAGCAACTACGAGGTGGTTCCATACTCTGAAAACCTCCCGATTAGAGGACTTGCTTTCGGATATAGTTTATCCTCTTACCCAGGATAAAAAAAGAAAAAATATTAATAAAAAATAAAGAACTTAATGCCATCATTATAAAAAATAATATTGGTAATAATAAACATTAATGTTTTTTCATTTACAGAACGAGGCCAGACTCAAAACCAGATGTGAATGCAACAAACTGAATAAAGAGGAAAATAACAATTTTTTTTTCTTTCTTTGATCTTTCAGGACGTAGGCGATCATGGCTCTCCACCTCCTTCTATCCCTTGAAGCCCTCAGCAAGTTCCTTCTCTCTGATTCCTCCCCCAGACCATGTTCTGTCATCCACTTGCTTAAGTCCGCCAGGTATGTCACGCGTTATTTTCCCTTGTCTCTCTTTCCCTATATTCGACCCGTGAGTATTAGCCTCCTTCCTCATTATGTGCCCCAGAAACTTCAGCTGCCTCTTCCTGATGTTAAGTATAAGCCTCCTCCTTGTTTGCAATCTCTCTAAGACCTCATCGTCGCTCATACGCTCGGTCCATGATATCCTTAGCATCCTTCTGTAGAACGACATCTTTGCTGCCTCGAGTCTCTTCTTCATCTTTGAGGAAATCGTCCAACATTCGCTGCCATAAAGAAAGACAGATGTCACATAACAGCTCAGTATTCTTTTCTTTGTTGCCAAATAAATCTTCCTGTCTCGCAATACTCTACCCAGCTTTTGGAATGTGTCCTTGGACATCCCAATACATCTACGGATCTGAGTGTCGCACTTACCGTCCTCTGTCAAGATGCTTCCCAGATATTTAAACTTCCGCGTTTGCTTGATTCTAGTGTTCCCGATTAAATAAATCGCATTTCGGGCTTATCCTCTTACTGATGACCATGCATTCTGTCTTCTTGTAGCTTATGCTTAGTCCTTTCTTCTTACTCTCCGTCGCTATCTGCTGTAATTTCTTTTCCGTGTCTGCTATCAGTACTGTGTCATTTACGTATCTTACGTTGTTAAAATTGTGGCCGTCAGTGCTAGAACCCGGTAGGCTTTCCAATTTTCTCAAAATTGCTTCGCTGTATAGGTTGAACAGGTCGGGTGAGAAGACGCATCCTTGCCTTACGCAATACTTATTTTTGCATATTCCCTGAACTTGTTCCCTATGCGCATGTATGCTCTTTACTGCCTGTATAGGTTCTTGATTATTCTGATATCTTTCCCGAATATATCAAGGTTGCTGAGCAGTTCCATCAGATGCTTGTGACGTACTTTATCGAAGGCCTTTGCGTAGTCTATGAAACATAGGTACACGTCCTTCTATATCTGTATCGCTCTTTCTGATAACATTCTGAATCTGAATATCGCGTTATGGCTTTCTAAATCTTCCTGTTATTTGCATCTCTAAACGAAATTTGTCCCCTTAAAATCCCTCCCAGTGTATCTGTCATTTACATAAACTCATTACTTAGATTATTTACTGCTTTTAATCTGCTAACTCAGGTCACCTCTTCATCTCTGAGGAAATTTCCCAGTATTCACTGCCTTATAGGAGGATTGATATTGCATAATAGTTTCTAATGGCATTTTCCTGTTCCTTAATAATTTGTTTAGCTTTTGGAAGGCATTTTTGTTATTCAGTGTCATATTTTCCATAGTTTGTTAAATCGTTTCACAGGGGGAACGGATATATAAAGCAATAAAAGAAAAAGTATCTCTCATCAAAATAACTCATGAATAAACCCTAAGTTATTTTTTAAAACGTCATATTCTTTTAGATTTTAGCCAGTCATGACTTTGCATAGATCCGTTTCTTGTGGACTATAAATTGTCGTGATTTTCTTTGAATTCTTTTTCCTAGACAGCTAAACGAGAGAGCTCAATCTACCCTGTTATTTAACCCATATATGGTGGAGGGGAGAATAGATTATAGTAATGCCTTTCCGAAAGTAAATATTAACAGACACTGGTGACAATTCTAACTTCTGTGCCGATAACCATTACCGGCACATGTTTCAAAGACCAAAACATAGAAAATAATCATGCTTGCTTTTGTAGGGGAAGAGAGGTGAGATAGCAAAGCATGTAATCTGGAAAGATTACTAGTCAGCTTATAAAGAATATAAAACCAGTAACGGAAAGACTAAATGGAAAAAAATGTAAAGCGTTTCGACCGTTAATGTGACTTCATCAGACTAAAGTAATGTTCTTCTTAATAGATCAATAAAAACATTATTGATTATTATTGATAATGATAATGGCGAGAAAACCGTTTCCTTATAATGAAACATTCGTCATTCATTGACCGATCAGTTAACATTACTGTCGTTTGGAATTTATAAAAGCTTACTCTCAAAACATTTTCCAGGAAAACAGGATTCTCAAGTTCTCTATTATTAATCTTCCTAGTATTGATGGCAGTTTCCTTCCTAACTTTTTGTTTAAAGTAATGTAAAACATCAACATCTTAATTATATCATCATTTTTTCTTCGACTTTTATGTGCTATCCATTTTAATTGTTGCTAATGTTGAAAGTCTTCAAGTGATGTGGTTTCTGTTATGCAGTTAAATTCTTTGATCAAGAATGGTCATCTCTATGACCTACAGGGCTCATTCGTTGAATTGATTGATCAATAAGCATATTTCTTTATTATGATAAAGTCCTTTTGATAGGCGAAGCGCGTTACATAGGCATTTTTTCCAATTTGCCATCCATTTACCAAACAATGCCCTGATATATAAAAAATGTGTATATCGTATTCTACCTAAAGCAGATATGACAGAACAGGAATAACTCCACACAGGTAACTGTATAATCAAATCGGGTTCAATGATGTAGACAAATGGCAAAATAAACAGAAGAATAATAGGAATATTCAATCAAGACAAATTGTCTCACCCAAACAAGACACCAGATCTAAAATAAATCTAAAAATGCCTCTGGGTGCGCACTCTGGATGCAAGACAAATGAGTGACAAATCTATAAAAACAACAGCGTAGAATAGGTCATGAATTTTACTAGGAAAATGTATTGGAAAGTGATTCACTATGAAAATGCATTGGAAAGGATTTTACTATGAAAATGCATGGGAAAGGGATTTCACTATGAAAATGCATTGGAAAGGGATTTTATCGAAAAGAGATTTTATAGGAAAGGGATTTTGCTGTGAGAATGCAATGGAAAGTGATTTTGTTACAAAAATGCATTGGAAATGAATTTTACTATGAAAATGCATTGGAAATTGATTTTACTTTGAAAATGCATAAGGAAGTGATGTTACTATGAAAATGAATAGGAAAGGTATTTTACTGTAAAAATGCATTGCGAAGTGATTTTACTATGAAAATGCATTGGAAAGAGATTTTACAATGAAAATGCATGGGAAAGGGATTTTACTATGGAAATGCATGGGAAAGGGATTTCACTATGAATATCCATTGCAAAGGATTTTACTATGAAAATGCATTGGAAAGGGATTTTATTGTGAAAATACATTGGTAGTTTTCTGATGCCAATCTTTGGTTAGTGTCAATATTGATTTTTTGTATGGGTCACCTAGTGAGTATTGAACCCACTACTGCAATAGTCAACCAAACTTGCCACGCTAACCATTATCCCACACCCAAGAACTATTTTTAAATACTATTCTTCGCTTAGATTTTAGTTTTGCTACAAGGACACGCGGTTCGAACTCACTACTCAGTCGTAATGCTCAATCCTACTAGTTCGTTAAGGTTTACCATACGCCGAGACGCTTAAATATTTTTTTTTAAATTGTCCAAATAAGAGAAAATAGACTTTGCCATAGTTGAAACATATAAAACTCTTCAGTTGCTCATGCCACAGAAATGAATGCATTTCGAGGCGTGACACGCTTGAATAAAAGAAGAAAACAACAACAACAAAAAAACAAAGATATTTAACCGAACCCCTTTCCATGACACAAAGTAAATTAGTCGTATGCATAATGTGTTAGTTGAGTCGGGGCCAGCGAGGGAAAAATTAACTAAAATAGATTTGTTCGGTATCTAAGCATTTAGCTAATGGACGACAAGATAAGGTTTCCTCAGAAAATAATTGCCGAAAATTGCATTAGGGTTTGGAAGCTCTATCCTATTGTCCAAAATTTGTCAGCGCGGACCCTCAAGGGTGGTAAAGGCAATATTCAACAAAGAAAAGACGGTTTCATGAAGGGAGACATTTCAGAAACAGGACAGGCTTCGATACCTTAAAGGTGATTATTAGGATCCGGATATTGGAAGGCTGATGGCGTCGATGCGATGTTGCTGAATGAAATCTTTCTCCCGAGATCAGAGATGACAAAAAGGGGAGAGAATTCAAATACGGTCAGTAAGGTGATAGGTCTACTCTTTACGCTTCCTGTCTTGCGTGTTCCGTAGGGAATATAACGTCACCGTCACGTCAAAAGCCCCAATCCCTCTCTCTGCTGCGTTTTGGAAGGTGTTGTATAAATGCTCATTTTAAAGAAAAAGAAGAAGAAAAAGAAGAAAAAGAAGAAGAAGAATGATAAACGTCGACAAAAAATATCAAATGGAAGAAAAATGATAAAACTAAAAGTGTTATAAACAGTAAAGGAAGCAAATAGATTGTAGGTGGTGAGAATGAGGAAAAAGAAGAAAGAAAAAAGATACTAAGTATAACAAAGAAGACGAAGAAAAGTAAAAGAGGAGGAGGTGAAAAGAGAAGGAAATAAAGAAGAGGTGATGGAGTGATAGAGAGAGAGGAAGAGGAGGACCGAAAATAAAGGGGAGATAAAAGAGACACATGAATGGGGGAAGAGATGAAGAAAAAAAGAAGGCCAATAAGAGAAAAAAGAAAAAGGGGGTGAATGAGAGAAGAGAGATACAATAAGAGTAGAAATGAAAGAAAGAGTTGGAGGAAAAAGAGAGAGACGAGAAGAGGAGGACCGAAAAAAAGTTTGGGGAGAAAAAGGGGATAAGAAGAGGAAGAAAGAAAAAACAAGTTGGGGAGAAATGAAAGGGACGGGAAGAGGAAGAATAAATAGAAGGGAAACAGAGAGTGACAGGAAGAAGAGTAAAAGAAAGTGGAGGAGAAAAAGAAAGATACAAGAAGAGGAGAAAAGAAAAAAGGGTTGGAGGAAAAAAGAGACGAGAAGAGGAGGACTGAAAAGAGTCGGAGGAGAAAAAGAGAACAAGAAGAACAACAAAAAACGATGTGGAGGAGAAAAGAAAGGCACGAGAAGAGGAAGAAAAAATGGGAGCGAGAAAATAGAGAGTGACAGGAAGAGGTGCAAAGAAAAAAGGAATTGATGGAGAAAAGGAGAGTGACGGGAAATAAAAAAAGGGATGGAAATAGAGAGACAAGAAGCAGAGGAATAGAAACAAGTGGGGGGGGGAAGTGCGGTATGTAAAGAGGGGGTGGGAGAGATAGAAGAGAAAAAAAAGAAAGACAAGAGAGGATAAAAGGAAATATGAAGAAAAAGACGGAAAATAATCATAATAGCAAACCAATGTGAGAAAGAAAGTAAAGAAAAGAAAAGAAAGAACGAAGGGACAGACAGAAAGAACGAACAACGAACGAAAGAAAGAAAGAACGAAAGAAAGAAAGAAGCAAACAAACAAATACAGAAAGAAGTAATAAAAGTAATAAAAAGTAATAAATAAATAAAGAACGAAAGAAAGAACGAAAGAAAGAAGAAAAGAAAGTTAGAAAAAACGAGAGAAAGAAAGAAAGAAAGAGTGAAATAAATAACGGAAGAAAGAAATACAGAAGGAAACAGAAAAAGATATAACGGAAATAAGAAATAAAGAACGATAGATAGAACAAAAGAAAGAAAGAAAGAAAGAAAGAAAGAAAAAAACGAAAGAACGAAACAACAAAAGAAAGTAAGAAATAAAGAAAGAAATAAAAATCGAAAGAAAGAAGGAAAGAAACAACGAGAGAAGTAAAGAAAGAAACAAACAACAAAAGAAAGAAAGAAAGAAAAACGACAAAAAAGGAAAATGGAATTTTAGTTCATATTATTTCTGTAGCATTTTAACCTATGCACGTAGTAGCAATACCTGAATTTCTGAAACGATGTTATGTCTATATTAATAAAGTTTCACTAGTACCCTGTTGTTGTTGTTGTTACTGCTGCTGCTGCTGCTGCTGCTGTTGTTGTTGCTGTTGTTGTTGTTGCTGTTGTTGCTGTTGTTGTTGTTGTTGTTGTTGTTGTTGCTGTTGTTGTTACTCGTTCCCACCCAATGTAACAGTTTTCGAACTTCCGGACTGCTTGTTTCTACGTTGCTCTATTGTCCAGTTCAAGAAAGCTCCGAAATAACTGACAATGGAGACAACCCACCGAAATTCAACTGGCTGTGGGCGCTTCTGCACATGGGATTGAACAACTGAAAAGTATATCCCGGGTGAGGTCGCTGGGCAGAGGGCTTTCTAGACTTAAGTCAACAGTTAGAGCGAAGGGCTTCTTCGATAAAAGTAGCAGCCAAATGTCCGTGACCAAAGCGAGCTTTCAAGTCAGAAGGCATCAGCTGTGTGGCCTAACATGGAAAGTGATGGGCTCCACAGGCGTCTAGTCTAGCTTGAGACAAGTAACGAATCAATAAATACATATTGATACACGTGAAAAGAGCTGGTCAGTTGTTCAGTTTTTCAGCGGCCCTACAATCAAACCCGGTCAGGTGGATGAGGATGATTGAACCTAGTAATCATAGGCGTAATAGCCTTAAGCTATTCTAAATTTTAAATGAATTTTCTACATTATAATTAATTTTCTTTTGACTTTTTAAAATGTTTCCCCAAGGAAGGCAATAAAGCCTCTAAGATGCAAGGAACGACTGAATGTTACAGAATATGAGGAAAAAAAAACACAATTAAGGGGAGATAACAATAAAAAAAAACACGAATGAAAAATTATTTACATTTTTCGGACTGTTATCCTCATCTTTGTTGCCATATTCACGACGTTTTGGCCGTTGTACGCTCCGGCCTTCTTCACGTGATTGGAATTTCGAACCAAACTCTTTATTTCGTCCACCGGGGTAGAGTGTTCTAGTTCTACGTGTCATGCCTCTTCCGGATATCTCATTATCAGTTATTTCCCTTTAACACAATCAGTATCAGTTATTTCCCATTCACCTCTTCTGTGGTCATGTACTGAACTCACAGCTCTTTGTGTTAAGTCACTGGTTTACTTAAACCAACGTTTTTATCCACTGGGCCATGTGTCCTTGAGGACATCAGTGTATGCATTTCTGAGACTTATAAATCTAATGTCTCTGTAACCCTTTTTAGCAGAGCACATATTACAATTTTTTGTTATTGCTTTTCTCTAGCACTCTGTATTATTGGTTCCGATATCATATTCATGTCTCAGATTGGCTGTCTTAGTAGAATAAAGATAGAAATAGGACTCAAAATAAACCTTTCCAAAACAGAAACTATAACCTGGAATTGGAATGAAAGTGGCAATGGCACACATCCTGAATTCATCATAAAAATCAAGTGTTCCAAGAAATAGAACTCAAAATAAACTTTTCCAAAGCAAAAACTACAATCTGGAATGTGAAAGCGGTGATGGCAACTAACCTGAATCCATCATTAAAATAAAAACAACGTCTATCAAGTGTTCCAAGAAATAGTACTCAAAATAAATCTTTCCAAAACAGAGAAAATTATCTGGAATTCGACTCATATTCTTCAGTAGCCTCGTTTCATTTAGACTTCCATATGAATGTCATGCCTGGCGCTATATTCGTTCAGAAATATCGAAACTGTCAGCTGTATACAACCACTTTCTGAGATCAATAATTAAAAATGGTTTCAAGCAAATGAACACTGTAGTTCCTAGAGAGGACCATTCTTCTTCGAACGGCGTAAACTGGCGCTACAGAATCACTAATACAAACTATACAAAATAACAGAAACCACATCACTTGAGGACATTCAACAATAACAATTAAAATGAATAGCATGCGTAACTTGAAGAGAAATAATGGCATAATCAAGATATTGACTTTCCACTCTACTTCAAACAAAAGGTTAGTAAGGAAACCCCCATCAATACTGGAAACAACTAGTGAACTTGAGAACAGACGCTGCAGTTTGATCCCAGATCAATGGCTAGGGAGTGAAGAAAAGCTCGAGTGGCACTGTCTGCTCGGTTAATAAATGCTGAATTTATCCCTATAAAGAAACGGCTAATATTACCATTGCCATTAGAGATGAGGAGAACAGACACTACAGTTTGATCCCAAACTGATGGCTAGGGGTAAAGAAAAGCGTAACTCGAGTAGCACTGGCTACGAGGTCAATGAATGCCGAATGTTTCCTTATAAGGAAACGGTTTATATTACCATCACCATTCCGATTAATTTCGTTAGAATTCATGACAGCCGAAAACACAATGAGAACCATGCGCGTACCGTTTGTAAAACAATGTTGGAAAACACGGTATTACAACAAATGGCCAGGAGGCGAGCTTAAGAGATAAACACAAAAGAATTTCATTTACATCTCGGGGTGTTGCGATTAACGAAACTCAGCAATCTAGCACCAGACACATAACCTTAGGCATGATAATTTCCTTCACAATGTCTCTTCAGAGAACAAGCTTTTCGTTTGTTTTGTGAATTCAAATGGATATTCCTATCGATTGGCCTTTTTTGTTTTATTTTTTCGGTATTGCCAATTGTAAATGTAGCCGGAAGACGATCGATTCTTCTTAATACAATTTTCCTATGAAAATGAATTTTCTTCACTTGATTCTAAAAAAAAATAAGAAAATCAGAAGTAAATATTCTTTAGAAAAGAAAGGAAATTAGAAAAAAAAGGAATAATAATTGCGAGTTGATAATTACAGAAATTAAAAATATGTTATTGTCATCAGAATCTTCGAAGATATCGACCTCGGCGAACCTAAAAACATCTTTTGAATCGGATCGAATAACGTGATCTGAGATGAATTTCATGGTGCAATAGACCATATGTTGCAAAACAGAATTTTACTGGATAAAATTAGTTAAACAAACATTAGATGATTTAGACAAGTTTCAGGAAGATTTTTGTGAGGGACATTTTGTGATGCAATGATTTTATGGGCGATGTCTTTCGGGTAGCAATGATTGTTTAGTCGATAAGAAATCCACCAAGGCATTTTACAAATTGCATTTCGTGGAACAATGATTGTCTAGTCTAAGGAAAATCAGCCAAAACCTTTGCAAATAGCATTTCGTGCGGCAATGAGGGCATGTCCGAAGAGAAATTTACCAAGCGATTTGCAAATTGCATTTCGTGGAGGAATGATTGTTTGGTCGAAGAGAAACTCAGCAAATCTTTTGCAAATTGTATTTCGTGGAGAGATGATTGTTTTCTAGGAGATAAATCTACCAAACATTTTGTAAATTGTATTTCGTGGAGTAATTATTGTTTGGTCGAAGGGAAACCCATCCACCTTTGGAAAATTGCATCTCGTGGAGTCATGATATTTTGGTCGAAGAGATATAGACCAAAATTTTTCGTGGAGCAATTATTGCATGGTCGAAAAGAAATCCACCAAGACATTTGCAAATTGCATTTCGTGGAGCAAAGTTTGTATGGTCCAAGTAAATCCACCAAACCTTTGGAAATTGCAATTCATAGAGCAATAAATTCATGTTCGAAGATTAACAAACCTTTTGTAAATTGCATTTAGTGGAACAATTGCTGTATAGTTCCAAGAGAAATCCACAAAGCCATTTGCAAGTTGTATTTCGTGTGGCAATGGATGTACCTTCGAAGAGAAATCTACCGAACTATTTGCAAACTGCATTGCGCGGAGCAATGATTGTTTGGTCGAAGAGAAATTTACCAAGCATTGTGCAAATTTCATTTCGTGGAGCAATAGTTATTTGATCGAAGTGAAATTCGCCAAGCCTTTTGCAAATTGCATTTCGTTCAACAGAGATTGTTTGGTCGAAGATAAATCTAACAAGTCTTTTGCTAATTGCATTTTGTGAGCGATGACTGTATGGTGGAAGAAAAACTCAATACACCTTTTGCAAATTGTATTTTGTGGGGTAATGGATTTATGATCAAAGAGAAATTCAGCAAACCTTTTGGGAACTGCATTTTGTGGAGTAATCATTGCATGATCGAAAAGAAACCCACCAAGCCTTTTGCAAATTGCTTTTCATGGAGCAATGATTGTATGACCAAACAGAAACCCACCCAGCCATTTGCAAATTGCATTTCTTGTAGCAAAGAGTGAATGGTCGAAGAGAATCCTACCAAACCTTTAGAATTTTCATTTCATTTGGTAATAATAATTTATATCCCATTGGACATAAAGTTGTGTCCAGTTTCTGTCGTTATGAATTAATAAATTGATCCCTCACTAACTGTTATATGTTAATATAAATGTTCAAAAATAGTATTTAATGGTGCACATGTGAAACGTATCTCGTAAGGATTTAACAAGATATACTTTAGTTTTTGACAGTATGAGTAAATTATTATTAATATAATATTCTACTGGACAATGGAAGCTCAGTGTGCTTATAATTTTAATTATTAAGCTGTTCCTAACTCGTAATTACTACATATTAATATAATTATTGGAAAATATATTTAAAGGCTCACATTTAACAACCTAATTATGATAGTAAGGAAATGCAAATATATTTTCATTTTTGACGGCCGTGTTGAAGTAATAACTTAAGAGTTGAGCAAAAGAAAGAATTGTCAGGACCCAATTAAACGCTGATATTGACGAAGAAATCGTTGCTAATTACTCTATTTTGCGCCATTTATTTATTTTAGAAATCGTAAATAGCTGGTTGTTTACGAATGAGAATATTAATTTAAATGGTATTTTCGACAACCGGTTTAATGTAAGCTATAACTGAAAAACAAGAGGAGCTCTTTCAACGAATTCCCAAATGAACAACAGAAAACAAAATTCGAATAATTAAATTAGGATTTTTTTGCTTTCAGTTCATCTTTGGTGTTATGAATTTTGTTGGATTCTCGCTCATCTGTGCTCCGTACAAAATAATCAAGGGGTTTGCAGTCTGTAGAGTAAGGTGGTGATGTGATCGTAGAAATTGTCTGATAATCCATGACTGGATTATTCTTCTTATGTGCCAATAAAGCCCTTAAAATGCAAAGCGTTAGTGAGTGTGAGAGAATCTGAGAATTAAAAAAAATCATTATTAAGGAGACAGAACAATAAAAGCACAGGGATTAAAAAGACAGAACATAACGATTAGCATTGCATGTAAATTTTGGAAGATCAAAGTTGATTGGAAATGAAGTTGGAAATGAGTCCCACAAGCGAGAAGTGCGATAGAAGAAAATACTAGCATAGAACTTACGGCTATATCTAGCCATTTTAACTGTAAAATGATGAGAGCGAGCCGCCAAACTAATCAGTTATGTGCCATGCGTGGTGCACGCTTAGGCGATCATGTATCTTTCGATACATGACTGACGAGGCAGATTTTTTTCCCCGCGGTAAGTTGCCATGTTTTTCTGAGGTAGATCAGTTGCCTTTCAAGGCTACAGAACCCGGTCTGTCTTGTTAGCTGGAGGGAGAAAAGGGTTCATACCTTTTCCAAGGGTATTAACAGGTAAGTAAATGTAATGGAACCGAATGGAATTCGAACTCGGCTCTCCAATTCCTCAATCCGAGCCGCTATCCTTACTTCACCGTGCTTAAATTCACAACGTCTAGATACCAAAGGGGTACGTTAATAAGAACAATTACAATGAAAGTATTTATAGAAAAGACACAGGGAAGCTCTGTTACGGCGGTGGGAAAATGAATCCGAGATGCCAGGTCATAATAACATTGCAGATTCTTTGGATTTTATCAAGAATCTGAAAATACAAAGCAGAAGAAGCAGATAATATATGGCAGCAATATTCAAAGCATGGACGAATAGTAGACATAGATTAGTAAGATAGATTCTGGGGAGAAAAATTGTCTCGCACGACACAAATATATATAGAAAGAAACAGAGAGAAAGTGAGAGGGAGAGAGAGAGAGGGAAGAAAAGAAGTAACTTTTTCTTTTGAATTTTCTTCATATTAGCTTTCTTTTCTTGTCCGTATGTAATAAGGCCGCAAATTTAAAGCAGCCATTTGAAGATATTGGAAATGTTTCCATCATTCGATCCGTTTTTATCTTTAATTGAATTTAATTTTTCATATGAATGGATTCAAAATAGGTGAAACGTAGGTCGGTGGATCAATCAGAAGCGCCATTGACCCAGGCTAATGTGGGACCTTATTCTACACTCCAGAAAGCGTGTTTCTTCTTATTCTGGGTATAAGTGTTCCTTCTGTTGCTGTTTTATTTAAGACTTCCGTGTTGCTTAACCGAAGCGTACATGGAATTCTCAGTATCCTCCGGTAGAACCACATTTCTGCCGCCTCCAGTTTTTACCTCATTCGTGGGTAGATTGTCCAGCATTCACTGCCATACAAGGGGTGGATGATACATCCAGTATAGATCACATGCAATCCAGAATTCTTTTCTTTGTTTCTGATTGATTGATTCGTTTTTTACGGCTTCTCAACCCATTTTTTAAAATAATAATGATTTTATTGGTACAAGTCTTAATAATTAACCCATAGCTTGGGGAGAAGAGGTGAATTCATACTTTTCTCAATGGTATTTGCGCGTAAGTGAATATAACAAACTCGACTGGAATTGGAAGTCTGTTCTCCGATTAACAATTCCGAGCCATTATCCATTACACCATCCGCACATCCAAGCTTACAGTACCTGGTATTCTCAAGTGGTCACCCATCTAAGTACTGACTAGGCTCGACGTTGCTTATCTTTGGTGATCGTGCAGGAATCAATGTTTCAACGATGTAACCGTTAGGTCTTTCTTTGTTTCTAAGGAAATTGTTCCGTTTTTCTTTTAATAAAAAAGATGAATGATTCCGACTAATTTTGATGACCAATATTACGAATACAATCCTGTGCTTGTAAAATCACTACGGAGAATAATCGTAATAATGATTTGCTCATAGGAATTGCAGAGAAATGGTTGTTACCATAAATCAATAACAGAAATAGGTTTGCTATATTTATTGTTCGGGAAATTAGACAAAAGATTTGGTTTCGATCGAACATTATTAATATTCGATTTCATATAAATTGCAAAGGATAAGCAAAAGTTATACATAGGCAGTATATGGACAGATGAAAGTCTCACAGAGAACTTATCTAGCATTAATGATATTTATTCGGCCAAGCCGCACTCTGAGACACTGCAGCGGGTCCCCGTTACGGATGGAACTCATTATATTTACTCTCCAAGACCACATGTGTCACTATTGTTCAGCATTCTTTTTCTTTATGTACCGCATACCTTCAGGACGTAGGCGATTATGGTTCTCCACATTTTCCTTTCCTTCGTAGCTCTTAATAAATTTGGTCTTTTTGATATTTTTCCTAAACCTTGTTCCATGTACACAGACTCACTTCTTGATCTTTGAGGAAATTGTCCAGCATTCACTGCCATATATGAGGACAGACATGACGTAATAGTTCCGTACTATTTTTTCTCTGTTTCTAACGAAATTCTTCTGTTTCTTAATACTTTGCTTAGCTTTTGGAAAGCATCGTTCGATGTCCCAATCTTTGGTTTTCAGTATCACACTTAAAACACTTCTCAGATATTCAAATTTTTTGTACTTGTTTGATTTTGGTATCACCAATTTGCAATCTGTATTTTGGGTCCATTCTTTTGCTACCAATTTTGCAATCTGTCTCCTTGCAGGTCATGTTTAATTCTTTTCTTCTCGTTTTCCTTCACTACCTTCTGTAGGAGATTTTGTAGTTTTCTTTCTGTGTCTGCTACCAACACTGTGTCATCTGCATATCTTATGTTAAGATTGTGGTCACAAATAATGAATCATGGTAGGGCATCTAATTCTCTCGGAATCGCCTCTCTGTAGGTTGAATAAGCCCGGTGAGAAGACACGTCGGCTTTCTATTTCTGAATATCTGCTGAACTCATTTTCCATCCGTGTGCAGGCGCTTTGCTGTCAGTATAGGTTCGTGATTAATCTAATATCCTTCCTAAATGTATCAAGGTCGCTTAGCAGTTCCAACAGATCTTTGTGGCGTACTTTATCGAACGCCTTTGCGTAATCTATAAAACACAGGTGAACGTCCTTCTGCAGTTGTATTGATCTTTCTGATAACATTCTGAGCATAAATATCTCAGTTTTATTCCGCTGCACATTCTACACGCATCAAATTCTTATTCCATTATATACTAGTAGTTCTGCAGAAACTAAGAAATGAGAGAGCAGAGTTCGAATTCTAGTCAAGATAGTTGTTATGGGATCTTATCCATAATAATAATAATGGACTATTCCATACTTAATAAATACTGCGACTCAGGAGTAGGCAAGTCGAGTGAGTAGTTCAAGTCGAGTCAAGAGTCGCGTTCAGACAATTACTGCAAGACATTGGAATAGTGATACTGGTCGAGACTACATTGTTCTCTCTACTAAATCTGATTGTTTATACTAACACTTCTAATTCTCTGTATATATTCCTGTTTGTAATATATCTGTGTTATTCCATACCTGTGTTCGAGTTCTTCTTTATTGGTTCTACCTTGGACTCTCACTGTGGTACAAGGAACCAGACCATAACAATAGTTATATTCACATAAGTACAAATATCATTGGGAAAGGCATGAATCCGTCTTTCCCTATCCCCGAGCTATGTTCCTGTTGACCATAATATTAAGGTGAAAGAAATTGAAAAGTTTAAAAAGTACACCGACGTCCAAATGGAAGTTTCCAAAATGTTGGACATTCAAGCCACTATTGTGCCAGTTACCATTGGGACGTTGAACCGCACTTAAAGATCTATATTAAGACAATCGGAGTAAAGCCTAGTATCTTCCGCCTCAGAAATCTACGTGACTTGACACCCTTTAAATATTCTGCGATATGTGCTGTTTGAGGTCGTATGACTTGATGGCGATCACCCGTAAGGCAAGATCTCTAGTTGAAAACGAAAAACCGTACAAACAAGAAATGATTATTATTTAACTAATAATAAGAGAAAAACAATTTACTCCCAGCAGAACAGAAAGGATGAAAGAGAGGAAGTTGCAGGTGTAAGGACCAACTAATTATCAATAAAACAATATTGGAAGAGGTGAAAACAAGGAAAAGAAATTTATCGATAGTATGGATCAACTACAGAAAGACGTTCGACAGTGTACCACACTCATGGATAAAGAAGAGTCTAAAAATATACAGATTATCTCACACAACGGTCAAATTAATAGCAGAGAGCATGAAAAACTGGAAGACTACACTAAAGCTAAACCATACAAATGGGTCATTAACATTAACATCGAGACCAATCAACATTAAAAGCGGGACGTTCGAAGGAGATTCATTGTCACCATGACTCTTCTGTTTTGCATTAGCGTCACTCATCTGCCTACTGAGCAACAGTAACTACGGCTACAAGTCACAGAATGGCAAACTGAATCACCTATTCTATATTGGTTATCTTAAAACGTTTGTCAAGGATGACAACCAGCAGACAAAACCTATTCACCATTGTCAAAACCTTCATCAAAGACATTAGGATGGAGTTCGGAACCAACAAATATGGCAAATCCCTTTTCAAAGGTGGTAAAATAACGAAAACTACAGATTTAATCATTGATATCAATAAAAAGATTAAGGAACTAGACTAAGATGGTACAATTACTTAGGAATTAATGGAGGCGGAATACAACATTCAATTATGAAGAAAAAGATCTGAAAAGAATAGGAGAGTGCGTCTGATACTGGAAACTGAAAGAAGCCAATAAAATGAAGGCTAACAACACCTTAGCTATACCCGTAGTAATATGCAACTTCAACATTATTAAATGGAAGTTGAATAACATTGAACAGCAAGACCATAAAAATGCTTACCCAAATTAGGATGCACACGCCGAAATCAGATGTTGATAGGATGTACGTCCCAAGAGCTTTAGGAGGCCGAGGTCTAATCCAACTTGAACTGTAAAAACTACACCAATCGGACTGGAAGAAATGCCTCACAAAAACCAATGACACTCTCCTACAAATACTAAAACACCAAATCCATTCCATCAATACAGAAGATGCGCTCTTCAAGAAACATTAATATATCTAAAATCCTACCAACAAAAAACGAAGCGAATCCCATCTACACCAAACGAGTAAAATAGAAAGCAAAACAACTTGGCCAAATGAAATTACAACAAAAACTGGGAGGACAAGGCATTGTATAGCAAATACCTAAAAAGAACGAAAGAAGACGTAGACCAACAGAAAAAGTTTAAGAAATGTTGATGTAATCTGGATATTTTCAAGATATTATTATTATTATTATTATTATTGAATATAACAATAATTATTATTGTATATTACCATTGCTTAATATTATTATTTGATGCTTTCTTTTACAATAGTCATATCTGATGGATAGTTGTAGAGATCAAATAAAAGTGAGTTTTCTAAATACTCCGCCGATGTACTCACACTTCTATTAAATCTATTATAAATAGAAATTCAATTTTTTTTATTCATGTGAGGTGTGTGAGATGTCATGCGAGACAAGGGAGACCTGAAGCAACTTGACAGCTTCACTGATTGATTAATTTTGTTTCCATTTCTTAAACCTTTGGTCAAAGTTACATATATATCTTAACACAAAACTTCAAATACCTTGAAAGCCTTCCACTTTTAACTCGAGCAGCGTAACCACTCATTGACTGCAACATACACAAACAATATTTTTGTTCGAAGGGGAATTGCCCAATCCTTGTATTCATTTCTTTAGAAATTAGCAGCAATTCCCCAATATTTTGAAAATATTGGTCTAACTGTAGCAACAAAAGCAATGGAAATAACAGAAGCAGTGAGATGGATTTAAGCAGCCGTAACCAAAAGCAACAGATTTAGTGAACGGAATAGGTTTCTATTCCGTTCACTAAATCCATGCAACAGAAGCGATGAAAGGATAAATCAATTGCAGAAATAGATTTTTTAATTAGGAAATTGGATGAAATGCAAACTAAATATGGAGTCGGTCATGATTAATATTTTATTAACAGTATGCGGTTTTGTAAATTATTCATCAACTTATCTTTTATATGCGAGTAATTGTGAGTTGAAATTAATATAGAATGATAACATCTTAAATAAAATTATTCTTCTTTAATTTCTTAGATTAAATCTTAAACAATCATGATATTTCTGGAGAACATGTGCTCATAACTTAAGATTTCATGAGACAAACCTTTCATTTTTTTTCTTCATTACTATCTAACGATCGCATTATTGATGTGTGTCGTGAATTTTCCCACTTTAGCAGAAACAAATAAACAAATTAGGAAAACAAGGGCGGTTTAAACAGAATACCATGTTGTGTATTTTGTGGAATTTTGATTTTGGTTCAGATAGTCATCCTGCTTATGCTGACTTTTATGCTCAACAACTGCGGCGACTATATGATGGTTTGAAAGTACCCTCGCTGGTATAAGTCAATCGAAGGCGCGCACTCCTACAGCATGACAGTGCCTCAGTAGACACTGCCAATGAGACCAAGCGCAAACATGATAATCTGGAAGTGCTACCTCAATCTGCCTACAGCCCAGATTAAGCACCATCAGATTACCACCTTTTCATAGCCATGGCTCATTTATTGCGCCGGTGGAAGTTCAGCAATATGGATGAGATTGTAAACGGGCTCAGAGAGAATTTTTGGCCTCTAAACCAGCCAAATGATATAAGCGAGTGATTATGTTTCTGGTACAAGTATGAAAATAGACAATAGACTATGACAGGATGTATTTTA